GGCCAGGAATCTGCCAGGTACCGTCCAGCCTTAAATGAGAGCTGCCAAGCCAGCCCCCTCCCGCCTCCCAGCCACGCACAGCTGTGAGCTGTGCAAGCCCTGAACTGGACAGCCCGGCCCCTCGCTGACACGAGAACCAGGAGTTGCTGTCGCCGGTTTGCACGCTCAGCGCCTGGTCCGTGCCCAGTCTCTGGGGGTTAGCCCCCTCCGCATGCTGGACCCGAGGCAGCCACGTTGTCCCACCAGGGCAGGCCACGTGGGCTCCACGACTTGGAGATGGGGCCTTTGGGCTGCATCCGCCCTTGTTTCTCTCTACAGCTCTCTGCAGCTAGCGGAGTCAGTCCCCGGAGGGGATGTCCACACCCAGCCGCAGCAAGTCTCCGAGCCTGGTTCTCCAGACTTGGGCTTGTGGGGCACATGCTCTGGGGCTGTATAATTGCAGTGGAGCCGGGGCTCTGAGCTCCCACGAGGCAGGAGGGTCCCAGAGCCCAGGCTCCAGCCCAGGCCCGAAAGTCTACCCTGCAATTTCATAGCCCCGCAGCCCAAGCCCGAGTCAGCTGATTCGGGCCAGCTGTGGGTGTGTGATCGCTTTGTAAACGTACCCACAGTGGCTACATGCCCTAAACACCTAGTCCTGATCTCCCATGTCCCAGGGAGTAAATCCATTGCCCCCCGCCCCAAGGGGTAGCGATACCAAGGGGTCAGGCACAGAGTCAGACAGACAGTTCATAAAAATAGTACAGCAAACGTCTCCTTTTTGTTACAGGTGCCTAGTGGGTAGTGCACCCACTAGGTCTGATACTTAGGACTGCTGGCTTGGCCACTGGGTGACCTTGGGCAAGTCACGTCCTGCCTCAGTTTCCCCATGTATCAAACGGGGGGTGATGGTACCAATCTCCTTTGTACAGCACGTTGAGATCTGTGGCTGAAAAGCGCGAGATAAGAGCGTGTTATTATGAAGGATGTTCTCCATAGAGACTCACCCTCTCCCCATCCCTTTGGTGGGTAACAATGCGGATCGGCTGTGGTTTTGGGCTTGCCTGTGAGACGTTACCACTCCCAGCCTGTGGCACAAGCCCGCCCCCCACACGCGCTGTAGGTGGCCCACTCCTTGGGGTGGCTTCCTTAACCCTGCAAGCAGCACAGCAGCGTGGCCCCAGCCTTCTCCCCTCAACCTACGGCCCTGGATCTGGGCAGTCCAACAATCCCAGCGGGAGTCTGGCTACTGAATGTCCTAGGGGCTGGGAAAGGCACAGACGAAGCCCTGGCCTGTTAGCAAGTTCCCAGATGTCCAAAGCTTTCGTAGCCACCCCTATTTCCTGGATAACTTTTTGACCCCCCCACAACCGTCCAGCCGGAATCTTGCAGCTGGGGTTTCCAGTCTAGCCAGAATCTTTGTAGCTTCTGTCACACTGAAGATTTTATGTCTGCCGGCGAGTCGCCGTATGGGAAGCCACCTGATGTCTCTTGAGAAGTCTCGAGCTCATGATTTCATTTCTCTTGGCCAGCTCTTCTTGCTTTCAGCCGGCACCTCCACTATCTGCTCCTCTCATTGTCCACCTTGGCCCCGGGGTCCTTTCCCGAGTCATGGAGCTCCAGGATAGAGTCCCCCGTTTTATCAGGGGGACTGCGATGGGGTGTCCACCTCACACACACACACAGGACTGGAAGGGGTTAAGATGGCCAGACGGGCCAATTAACACCACAGGCTGCATCTGGAGAAGGAGACAGCCAGGAATTGATTGGAAACAGACTCCACTGGAGGAGCCTAGGGGAAGCTGGCAACAGAAGAGTCTGGAGGGATGCGTGGGGTGTCTGGGCCTGGAGGCAAGTAGCCTACAGTTACTCCCTGGGAAGAGGGATTGGGGCTTGGCAGGCCCGGAGAAAGGGGAGAGCCAGAGAGGTAGACAAGGCATGGGGCCCTCTCCCTGGCAGCCAAGGTTTGACCTACTCTACGTTGTCAGTTGTCTCCGGGTGCCGGCCCAGCAGACCTCAATAACCTCGGTTGGGCGGTGAAGGTGCTTGGCCGACGAAGCACAGTTCGAGGACTCAGGTGCGCCAACGCATCTGTGCCCATGACTATGGTACCAGCTCCGTCCGCAGCTGCCCCCTCGCCGCTGGACAAAGGTGTCCCTCCCATGACTTCTCCTTGTACCCGTTGCTACAAACACGTCCCGTATTACACTCCTGAGGTTAGTTTCCAACCCGAGGCCTTGTCCCAAACCTCCCAGTGCACCGTCCTGTCCTCCCATCCTGGTCTGACTTGGGGTCCTGTGTCCCGGTGCCATCTCCCAGGAGTGTTTGTACTGCACCTCTGTGCCGGGAGGAGCACCCAGGGCCTAGTCCTTAGGAGCACTCAGCCCCGCTAGCCGGGCCTTTGCCAAGTTCATGTGCCAGACGGTGAACTTCTAAGCAAGCGTCTGCTCTAGACAGCGCCTGACGTTGGCGCCTAGCATGGCCTGGCTTTGCTGTCTTGCCCCAGCCCCCGTGCTCCAGGCTCTCTCTCCACTACCTCTACACCTCACTGCTTTTCCCCTGAGCCTTGCCCACCTCTCTGGCGCTTCCCGCAGTGAGTCCGCCCGGGCGGGGCTCCTGGGGAAGCCAGAAGGCCCTGCACCCCAGTTCTGCAATCAGATATGACTCTCAGCCAGCCGGTAATGGAAGGTTTATTATCAGAGGGGTAGCCATGTTAGTCTGTATCCGCAAAAACAACGAGGAGTCCGGTGGCACCTTAAAGACGAACAGATTTATTTGGGCATAAGCTTTCTTGGGGAAAAGACCCACTTCAGATGCATGGAGTGAAAATTACAGCTGCAGGCATTATATACTGACACATGAAGAGAAGGGAGTTACCTCACAAGTGGAGAACCAGTGTTGACAAGGCCAATTCAGTCAGGGCGGACGTGGTCTACTGCCAATAATTGATGAGGAGGTGTCAATCCCAAGAGAGGGAAAATTGCTTTTGTAGTGAGCCAGCCACTCCCAGCCCCTATTCAAGCCCAAATTGATGGTGTTAAGTTTGCAAATGAATTGTAGCTCTGCAGTTTCTCTTTGCAGTCTGTTTTTGAAGTTTTTTGTTGTTGAAGAATGGCTACTTTTAAATCTGTTATAGAATGTCCAGGGAGATTGAACTGTTCTCTTACTGGCTTTTGTATGTTACCATTCCTGATGTCTGATTTGTGTCCATTTATTCTTTTACGTAGAGACTGTCCGGTTTGGCCAATGTACATGGCAGGGGGGCATTGTTGGCACATGATGGCATATATAACAGTAGTAGATGTGCAGGTGAATGAGCCTCTGATGGTGTGGCTGATGTGGTTGGATCCTCTGATGCTGTTGCTAGAGTAGATATGGGGACTGAGTAGACAACAGGGTTTGTTACAGGGATAGGTTCCTGGGTTAGTGTTTCTGTGGTGTGGTGTGTAGTTGCTGGTGAGTATTTGCTTCAGATTTGGGGGATGTATGTAAGCGAGGACTGGCCTGCCTCCCAAGGTCTGTGAGAGTGAGGGATCATTTTCCAGGATAGGTTGTAGATCGTGGATAATGCGCTGGAGAGATTTTAGCTGGGCGGTAAAACTGATGGCCAGTGGTGTTCTGTTATTTTCCTTGTTGGGCCTGTCCTGTAGTAGATGACTTCTGGGTACCTGTCTCGCTCTGTCAATCTGTTTCCTCACTTCCCCAGGTGGCTATTGTAGTTTTAAGAATGCTTGATAAATATCTTGTAGGTGTTTGTCTCTGTCTGAGGGATTGGAGCAAATGCGGTTATATCTTAGGGCTTGGTGGTAGACAATGGATCGTGTGATGTGTCCTGGATGGAAGCTGGAGGCATGTAGGTAAGTATAGCGGTCAGTAGGTTTCCAGTATAGGGTGGTGTTATGTGAGCATCACTTATTTGCACTTTAGAGTCCAGGAAGTGGGTCTCTTGTGTGGACTGGTCCAAGCTGAGGTTGATGGTGGGGTGGAAATTGTTGAAAACCAGGTGGAATTCTTCAAGGACCTCCTTCCCGTGGGTCTATACAATGAAGATGTCCTCAAAGTAGCGCAAGTAGAGGAGGGGCACTAGGGGACGAGAGCTGAGGAAGGGTTGTTCTAAGTCAGCCA